CTACTACTACTACTACTATTACTATTACTATTATTACTACTACTACTACTAATAATAATAATTAATTATAATTATTATAATTATTATTCATAATAATAATTACGATATCTGTAATACCATCAAATTATTATTATTATTATTATTATTATTATTATTATTATTATTATTATTATTATTATTATTATTATTATTATTATTATTATTATTTGATGGTATTACAGATATCGTCGCAGGATGGGAGCAATTCCTAGTAAGGCCGCCTTTTGCAATTGACTGATGGCGAATTTGGCATTGATATATTCACCATCAGTCAATTGCAAAAGGCGGCCTTACTAGGAACTGCTTCCATCCTGCGACGAGATCTGTAATACCATCAAACATCCACATCTGCCTATCCCAGGTCCTGGGTAAGGACTCGATAGGTAGACAAAAATGCCAGATCCAGTCTGAACATCTGGCTGACTGTGCAATGATTAATAATAATAATAATAATAATAATAATAATAATAATAATAATAACAACAATAACAATAACAACAACAACAAAACAACAACAACAACAACAACAACAACAATAATAATAATGATAAAAGTTGAAAGGGACCTTGGAGGTCATCTAGCCCAATTGTATGGCAGATTCATTTTTTATTTTTTATTTTATACTGATTAAGGTTTTAGATTGAACACCTCAGTAAGAACTGCATTGGCATACTAATAAAGGAGTGGATGTTATACAGGCAGTCCTCGACTTACAATGGTTCTTTTAATGACCGTTCAAATTGCAAAAAGTGACCAAGGACCGTTTTTCCACACTTACGACCGTTGCAGCGTCTCCGTGGTCACACGATCAAAATTCAAACACTCCGCAACCGGCTTGGAATCATGACAACTAGACATTCACCTGTCTGAGACGATTTAAGTTCTCCTGCTTGAGCGGGGGGCTGGACTAGAAGACCTCCAAGGTCCCTTCCAGCTTCTATTCTATTCTATTCTATTCTATTCTATTCTATTCTATTCTATATTCTATATTCTATATTCTATATTCTATATTCTATATTCTATATTCTATTCCATTCCATATTTTCTATTCTATTCTATTCTATTCTATTCTATTCCATTCCATTCCATTCCATATTCTATATTCTATATTCTATTTCATTCCATATTTTCTATTCTATTCTATTCTATTCCAAATTCTATATTCTATATTCTATATTTTCTGTTCTATTCTATTCTATTCTATTCTATTCCATATTCCATATTCCATATTCTATATTCTATATTCTATATTCTATATTCTATATTCTATATTCTATATTCTATTCCATTCCATATATTCTATTCTATTCTATTCTATTCTATTCCATTCTATTCTATTCTATTCTATTCCATTCCATATTCTATATTCTATATTCTATTCCATTCCATCTATTCTATTCTATTCTATTCTATTCTATTCTATTCTATTCTATTCTATTCTATTCTATTCCATATTCTATATTCCATATTCCATATTCTATATTCTATATTCTATATTCTATATTCTATATTCTATATTCTATATTCTATTCCATTCCATATTTTCTATTCTATTCTATTCCATTCCATTCCATTCCTATTTCTATTTATTTCTATTTCTATTTCATTCCATTGTATTGTAAGAAATACATAAAACCAAATGCACAGGTACAGAATAGGTGGTACCTGGCTCAATAACTGTGAAAAGGATCTTTTGATGAAAATGGGCTACTGGGGTAACTAGGATCTAGTCTAATGAAGGACTAGGGGGGACAATGCCCGGGCCAGGGACTGGCACCGGTCCACAGCATGCCAGCAACCGGTCCACGCAAACAAGCAAAGCCCCATCCGTGGGATGCAGGCAGCATGCGAAACCACACCCACGCCTGTCCGGTCCACAGAAAAACCTCTCCCCACGGAAACGGCCCCCGGTGCCCGAGAGGTTGGGGGGTCCACTGGGATACCAGAATCTGAGCATCACAAAGAAGAGGGGACCCAACCTATTCTCCCAAAAAACAGCCCAGTTTAGATCACACGGCCCTGTGGGTGCTGCATCAGTCGTCAGCGCAACAGTCACTTTTTCCACCGCGGTCCCTAAATCAACTGTTGTAAGCTGAGGACTATCTGTGTTTTAAAAAAAGGGGGGGCTGGGCTCGAGGGAATTGATTGACGGTGGACGATCCAGGTTGGGGGGCTGTTGAGACCCCCCAAGGGACTTACGTGAGTCGTGAGAAGCTTCTGCCAATCGGGCTGCAGGTAGTAAAGGACCCCCTTCCAGGCTCCAGGTAAGGTGGCCCCCCGGATGAGGAGGATGAGGAGGATGGCGTACGGGAAGGTGGCCGTCACCCAGACAACCTGGGGGGGGGAGAAGCAGGGCAGAAGACCCTCCATCAAGGATGGAAGAGGGGAGAAGACCCTCCATCTACCTGCTAGTCTAGTCCTCCGCCTCCCTCCATCTGCTCCGCCTCTCCTCCCCCCGGACTCTTCACCTTTCCAGAGGTTTTGACCCCTTTCCAGATGCTGAAGTAGACGATGGCGAAGATGAAGAGGAGGCAGAGGGTCAGCTGCCAGCTGATGCCCCCAAGGTCGTCCAGGCCCTTCGCCCGGTGGATCTGCAGCACGTGGCGCCTGGAAGGGAGAGCAGAAAACGGGGGGGGGGG